ATGAATTGTAGTTGAACAACATCAGAAAGGGCCACAGATCCCTTTATCCTATTAGAGTTTATTCAGTTTACTTTTTTCTGTGTTGTTGATAGTGTAAGCAGCAAAATAATGCAAATATTTTTCTTCTTCTTCTCAGGGAAGAAGGCTTCTGTGATGGAGAAACCAATCCTGCCAGCAGAACCCACTGAACCAATAGTTAAGGGAAGTATGGCTGTTGGGTGTGTATCACTTGCTCTTGCGAAGACTGCAGCAATAATTCGTGAGATACCTCTATACTTACATGTTGCTTTGCTGAAACCCAACCAGGTACTTGCCAGGTTTTTTATTTGCTGCTCACATTTTCCCGGAACTGCTATACAAGATGGGAATACTTGAAGTAATCCAGTCAGATAATTGGATTTGCACTCTAGGATCTGTGAAATCTTTTACTTAATATCTGTGGGAAGTGGATGAGAACTATATTCTAGTACTGAGAATGTTTGACCTAGTTCTGTACCCTGACTCTCTGTTCTGCTAAAATCCTTAGAACATCCTTAAGTCATAAGGATTCTGACTGATGTTCCTGTGCCAAATCTTCTGGGCTGATGCACTAGTTTCCCTAATGTGGAAATTACTCCTTTGATGATGTAGCAAGAATATATGAGGAATCCTTCCTTGTATTTTTTATATCATTCTATAGGTAGCTGGTGTGTTCCTATGCATACTTAATTTATTAGGACTATACTGATCCTTAGCAAATTATGTGGGGCAGTCAAGCTTTGACTTGCTTGCCAGAGTTGCAAATTAACACACTTACTTTCTGATTAAGATGGTTTACAACACAATTCAAAGTAATTCAACAAAGGACCAGTATAAAATCTGATGTGTATCATGAGGCTTCTATTTTCAGTGAACACTAAATATACTATACACCCTTTGTTCATTTTAGGAGATGCCTAAAGAACTGGCTGTGCCATTACCAATGATAACAGTTTTGAGCTGTGGCAAATCATCGCCTGGAAAACTGAATTTGATGAAGGAAGTGATGCTTATACCCCCAGCCTGGCTAACAATTAAACAAGTACTACATGTTCCCCCCACCCTTGACCTTAATATACACAATATTGAAAAGTACTTGGCTGTATCATAGTCATCCTGAACTAAGTAAATATTCTTTATTCAGGGCATAATCATGTACCCAATTCTGTCTGCTTATTCCTGTTGGGCTATCAATAGATAATGATTGACAGCTTTACACATAACTGATTTTATCCCAAGGATAGTAGAGAAAATATCCTGTACTTCATTATGTACAATAAATTGTTGTGTAGTGAATGCATCTCTCTTTGATTTGTTTGGCTTTTATATCTGGGAAGTTGCTACTGTATTATGCCTTTTGTGAGTAAGGAAAACAAGGAAATAATGACTTTAGAAAGGTTTACCAGAGTTTTGCATTGTAGTGGGAATTTCATTTTCATAAAATGGGAATTCATCTTCAGAGGTAATATGTGTCATTCAGTAGTGACACAGCAAGAAAGAAAATATCTACAAATACAGTAATTTTAAGATGGGCATGTGAAACTAGTTTTCATGGATTAATATATTCTTCCATCACTGTCCCAAACGACCTCTGTTTATCCTTTTCCTTTGAAGATGTATGATGATACACACATGTTGTCTTGCTCAAAGACATCTCAAAGAAATGAAGCCATGTGACAATCAGGTTCAATTGGGTATGGTCACCTACTTTTTAACCAAGTGGGAATTTATATAGACCTGTAGTTAGTAAACTTATGATGTTACACAAATGATAAAGGTTTAACATTACAGCACAGCAAAACCATGGCATAACAAAATCTGGATTGACAGAATTAACTCAGAGCCTCAATAGCAGTAGTGATTGTAATCTTGCTCTGTTTTATTCAGTGCCGAGACACATGTCAAGAGAAGAGCAACACCATATTTTTCTCAGGGAGAAACACACCTCCATAAAACTATTATTTCAGTGCTCAGTAAGTTACTGACTAGCGCTGGAGTAATGCATAAGGTGACTTGTTCATAGGTTTTTGCCTTGCTTATCTCTCTGTGGTTCTAATGTCCTGCATACTATCTATCCTTGTTGTTGTTATGTGCCTTCAAGTCATTTCAGACTTACGGAGACATTAAAGTAACCCTATAACAGGTTTTTCTTGGCAAGATTTGTTGAGGGAGGTTTGCTGTTGCTTTACTCTGAGGCTGAGAAAATGTAACTCGTCCATGGTCACCCAAGTGGGTTTCCATGGCTGAGTGGGGATTCAAACACTTGTCTCCTGGAATTATAAACTAACATTCAAACTACTACACAATGCTGGCATACTACCCTATATTCCTGTTTATTTACTCTCATTTACTGCCTGCTAACATCTGAATGTAGCTACTCGCAGAGTTTAATGTTCCAAATACTGCGTAACATAATGTTCTAAATACTGCATTGCCACTGGTGTTATGTTGTAAACTGCAACTTTACTTGCAGCATGGATGCCAGTAGCAGAACATCTACTAGGATATTTATAGTAAATATTTACATCTTTATAAATATACTAGTTACTTTCTTTCAAAGATACAGTTTTTTTAAAAAGTAGTACTTCTAATAGAAACAAATGCATGGTTTTGATTACTATTATCTATTTTCCAGGCTATGGAAAGATGTCTGGATATTCAGAAACAACTGATGAAGTTGATA